TTCTTTCTTTCTTTCTTTCTTCTTTCTTCCTTCTTTCTTTCTTTCTTTCTTTCTTTCTTTCTTTCTTCTTTCTTCCTTCCTTCCTTCTTTCTTTCTTTCTTTCTTTCTTTCTTTCTTTCTTTCTTTCTTCTTTCTTCCTTCTTTCTTTCTTTCTTTCTTTCTTTCTTTCTTTCTTTCTTTCTTTCTTCTTTCTTTCTTTCTTTCTTTCTTCTTTTTGTTTAAATGAAATTGTATAGCTTTGGAGGATGTGCAACAGGCACATGGCTTCAAATTCCAAGAGAGCAGATGACGATGCAGTAGAAAGCGTCCTCCTGTGGGAGCCCCCAGACCTGAAAGCTACCCCCATCCCCATCGTGTCTCACTCCAGACGTAGTTTATAAACGTACATTCATTTCCCCTTTTTTCACTCACATGTGGTATCCTGTGTTCCGCACTGTCCCTTTTCACTTTCCTGGTGCACTTTCAATGGGGAAGATATTGTCTTGAAGGGGGTGAAAACTAGAGCTTACGGGGTGAAAAAGATCTTCCTCTTCTTTTTTTTTTTTTTAAAGATTTTATTTATTTATTCATGAGAGACACAGAGAGAGAGACAGAGGCAGAGGAGAAGCAGGCTCCCCGCAGAGCAGGGAGCCCACTGTGGGACTCGATCCAGGGACTCCAGGATCATGACCTGAGCCGAAGGCAGTCGCTTAACCAACTGAGCCACCCAGGCACCAGATCTTCCTCTTCTTATGCAGAAAGCACAGATACACATAGAGCACATGAGCAGATATATAATCTATGTATGGTGTTACAATTTCAGTGGGGGGAAGAGCGCAAAACACAAAACGGTGAGAAACACTGATGGAACCATATACACTCAATATTGCCCCATGTCTGGGGCGCCTGGGTGGCTCAGACGGTTAAGTGTCTGACTCTTAACTTCAGCTCAGGTCTTGATCTCAGGGTAGTGAGTTCGAGCCCCATGTGGGGCTCCCTGCTGGGTGTAGAGCCTACTTTAAAAAAAAAAAATTACCCCATATGGTATATACAAACAATTGTCATTCATTTTCAAAGCCATATAACATTCCATTATGGGAATACACCAGACTCTATTAAGCAATCCCCTACTGATGCCTATTTTGTTGTTTCTAATGTTTTGCTAAGTGTTTTCTGTCATTGTTCATTTTATATTTTGTATACTTTTTACTGAAGTAGAATTAGTTTACAGTAATAACGCACAGGTCTTAGGTGTGTTCAATTTGACAAGTTTTGACAATTCTATACACTCATGTAACCACCACTAAAAATAAGTTCTAGGGGCGCCTGGGTGGTTCAGTGGGTTAAGTGTATGCCTTCGGCTCAGGTCATGATCCCAGGGTCCTGGGATCGAGCCCTGCATTGGGCTCCCTGCTCAGCAGGGGAGTCTGCTTCTCCCTCTGCCGCTGCTCCTCCCCACTCTCTCTCTCTCACTCTCTCAGATAAATAAATAAAACATCTTTAAAAAAATAAAAAATAAAAATAAGATCTAGAATATTTGCCCCACCCTAAAAAGTCTCTTCATGCCTCTGTCCACTCAGCTCCCCACTCTACCCTAGGCAACCACCCTCTATCCCCAAAGATTACTTTGTCTATTCTCCGGATTTCATATAAATGGAATCATACAGTGTGGTACCATCATATGGTAAATGCATACGATGCATTTTTATAATGCAACTTTATAAGAGACTACTCAATTCCCCAAACGGGGTAGAACATTTTGATTCCCACCAACAACGGAAGAGTTCTGGTGGCTCCTTATTTTCCACCAGTATCTGATACCCATCTGTTTCATTTGTTTTACTTTAGTTGTTCTGGTGGGTATCGTTAACATTTTCACCTGTCGGTAATGGTTCAGAACCAACCAAGTAAAAATGAAAAACAAAACCCATGCCGACACAATTATGTTTGGGAAATGCTACAAACTCTGTCCACTCTAAAAACACAGCAGCGCATCGTAAGGGCTCTGGTTCATGCCGCAGAGCTGCTTCTTTTTTTTTTTTTTTTTTTTTTAAGATTTTATTTATTTATTTGACAGAGAGACACACAACGAGAGAGGGAACACAAGCAGGGGGAGTGGGGGAGGGAGAAGCAGGCTTCCTGCGGAGCAGGGAGCCCGATGTGGGGCTCGATCCCAGGACCCTGGGATCATGACCTGAGCCGAAGGCAGACGCTTAACGACTGAGCCACCCAGGCGCCCCCGCAGAGCTGCTTCTTAACGCGGCGTTCCTTAATCTTGTTTGGCTGGAGCATCTCTCGTGCTGTGTTTCACACTTACACATGTTGGTGGAAGCTACTGTGGAAGTGTTACTTTGCATTCCAGCTTAGCGTTGCCTTGACATATGCATTCCTGTTCCATAAATGAGATAATATGCTGTCAAGGGCATCAAAAAGTCCTCCTGTCCCTCACTGCTTATCCTTATCGGACTTGTTCAGGTATCTCTTCATTGGGGCATATAAATGCCTTCTAAAGTCCATGATTATATATAAAAAATTTTAAATACAAAGATCTTGGGGAAGGGCACTAGGGGGTCTAAATCTACAGGGAGGGGTGAGCGAGCGAATGCAGACTCTTCCCTCTGGCAGGTTTGGGTATGAGGAGGAGGGAGAGCTCTATCTGAAGGGCACCGGGTCTCCTGGGGGTCAGCAATGAGGAGGGAGGCAGAGGCAGGGAGAAACCAGAAGTCAAACCTCACCTACTTCCCACACCTGCCTTGCCTGCCCTGGAAAAGAGTCTCTACAGCAAAGGCTGAATAAATATTACGGCTGGGATCACGGAAGCCCAGCCAAGCCAAACAAAGCCCTTAAAAATCCAACACAGAGGAAGCAAGGAAGATTGGGGGGAGGCTGAGGGTGAGAGAGGACAGTGACTCCCCTCGGCTGGATCACTCTCTGGGGCAGGGGCGCCCCCGGGCGCTGGGGGCCTAAGCTGCCGGGAGCCCCCCCAGTCCGACAGTCACAGACAGCTCCCAGACGTTGTCCAGGGTACCCTGGGGCGCAGCCGCTGTCTTGTGTGTCCCCGTCAGATGCAAGTACCTCACCAGACGTAGCACGTTGTGGGCTTTCACTAAATGTCTGTTATGTGAATGGTGACGGTCCATTGAGAAAAACACACCGGGATGGGAATTTCTTGAGCGCAAGGAGGGTGTTTTCTGTACATGTGCAGTTTCCACTCCATGTGCAGCCTGGAGCCCAGCATCGTGCCCGACACACGGAAGGCTGGGTTCAGTTCTCCTCCACTCACTAAGCTCCCAACAGCTTCCTGCTGTATTTAGTATAAACCAAACTCCTTGCCTGCCCCCCCGCCCCGCCGCCAACACCCTGAACGACATGCCCGTCTCCTGCCTGCCCTTCCTTCTCCCTCTCTCCACCCCCTCTCTCTGCTCCAGCCACAGGGGCCTCCTCGCTGTTCCACCAACACACCAGACCAAGTCCTGATCACAGGACATTTGCATGTGCTGTTTCTTCAGCCTGAAACACGCTTCCCCCAGGACTGTACTTAAATGTCACCTTCTTTTTTTTTTTAAAGATTTTATTTATTCATTTGAGACACAGAGATACAGAGAGAGAGAGAGCATGAGCACTGGGAGAGGCAGAGGGAGAGGGAGAAGCAGACTCCCGGCTGAGCCAGGAGCCCGATGTGGGGCTCGATCCCAGGACCCCAGGATCATGACCTGAACCGAAGGCAGACGCTTAACCATCTGAGCCACCCAGGCGCCCCTTAAATGTCACCTTCTTAAGGGGTACCTGGCTGGCTCAGTGGGTAGAGCATATAGCTCTTAATCTTGTGGTTGTGAACTCAAGCCCCACATTGGGTATAAAGCTTACTTAAAAAAAAAAAAAAAAAAGGTCACCTTCTTCAAGGAGGCTTTTCCAGCCTTTGGTTGCCTTTCCCTGTGGTTATATGCAGTTTCTTGGTAGCACTTACTCTTTTATCACTTTCCTGATTTATTTATGTATTTATGGTCTAGCTTGTTCAGTGCTTTATCCCTAAAACAGTGGTGGGCTCCATGAGTAAGGGCTGATTGAGCACCTCTGCTATGTGCAGGCCCTTCCTAGATACTAGGGACCCAGCAGAGAACAAGGGAAACTCCCTTCTAGCCTGTAAGGCCCTGGGGGTGGGAAGGAGAGAAATGAGGAAGACACAAAAACAGGTAAAGACAAAAGACAATGTCAAACAGTGAGGGGTTCCTGAAAACAGTGATATCACAAAGAGCTATGGGGCTGGGCTCCGGGGAAGGGGGCGGTCACCCATAGCCTCTCAGCCATCTGGGCTGAATATACAAAGACAGTGACAGAGTCAGAGGTGGGAGGGAGGGCATTTCCCGGCAGGCAGAACAGCAAGTGCAAAGGCCCTGGGGTTGGGACCAAGTTTGGCTCAATCAGTATTCAAGGAATAAATGAACCATAGAAGATTCTAGAAGTAACTGATTGCTGCTTAGGTTTGGCTGGGGAGGGCTTGGAGGGTGGGTAGGAGGTTGCCAGGTCCTGAGGGAAGGGAGCTTCTGGCAGAGGGAATGGCTCCAGCAAAGGCCTGGGCTGTTCCTCTTGGTTTTGTTCTGTCCTGGGAGTGGACAGGACCCAGCCAGGGGCCCTGGGCTCTCCTGGAGACCCACATCCTGGGACTCAGAGGAGAAACAGTCCCTGAAAGTGGGGGAGAGGTCATGGCAGAGCTGAGGCACCCCAGACTTTGGCCTTTGCCCACTGCGGCTAGAAAAGCACAAAACATCAAGATAACGGTCTTCCCTCCCTTCCCCCAGCCTGCCCTGGTGTCACTGGCCCTTAACCCTGTCCATCTTGCCTGTCCCCCAATCAGCACCCAGGGATGGGCTGGGAGCTCCCTATACTATTTCAGCATCTTTTGGGGGTGGTTACAGAGCTGGAGCAAGGATCGGAGCAGAACCTGGGAGTCCTGGTGGTGGGGTGAGGCTCCAGCTCAGAGCAGACTCGGGAAGCAGTGGGAGGCAGAGCTGGCTGGCCTCATGAATGGGGATTTAGCAGCTGGAAAGGTGAGCCCGGTCCGGGTCCATGGGGGAGGGAGGGAGGGTCGAGGCCAGGAAACCCTCCCCAAGCTCCCAGAGTTGGAAGGAGCCTCACACACACACCCCATTGTACAGATGGGAACACTGAGGCCCAGAGAGAACATGGAATGGCCAAACTCGTGCCTCCATCCTGGGGCTGCTCTTGTCTTTCCTCCAGGAGGGGGGCACTTGGGCAGGATGGGAGGGTAAGAGGGGGCTGGTTTCATCAGTCTCATAGGAGTTGACAAGGCTGCTCACCCCCATGCATGCACCTGTCTAGCACTTTTAAAGGAATTGGCTCACATGCCCTGGGAGGGCCTGTGTCAGCTCCACAGCCCATCTGGAGATGGAAGCTCCAGGGACAGGGTGGGCCGGCCTGGGGGCTGAGCGGTGGTTGAGTTTGAGCCTCACGGACCTTGGGGTGGCATGCAGATGGGCAGTGGGAGGAGAGGGGGCTGAGTGATCCTCATGCCTGTCCCCTCCTTGCCCCAGATGGCTTCCTCCACCGGTCCCATGGACCCCATTGGCAGCCTGGAGCTCCTGGATCTCCTGTTTGATCAGCAGGACGGCATCCTGAGACATGTGGAGCTGGGTGAGGACTGGGACCACATCGAGGACCAGGTGAGGACACGCCAGGCCACAGAGCCAGAGCCCCACTCCATGGGCTCACAGAGCTCAATTTTAGCAAAGCACAGCATTGCGTCGAACCTCTCAGCTACCCTAAGGGGTAGGTGACATTAGCTTCTTCTTAGAGGTGAGGAAACCGAGGCCCAGAGAGGAGCAGTAACTTGTCCAGGGTCACACAGCACTTTGGGGCTGGGTTCAAGCTCAAACTCGGGGCTTGTGCCTTGGGGGGTGTACCTACGCTGCACGATTGTGTTCAGGCTCCAAGAACCGTGGGAGGAAGGGGAATTAGCCCCTTCTGTCTTGCAGAGAGGACAAGTGAGGCCCAGAGTCACACAGCTATCCAGAATAAAGCCTAGCGCTTTCAGCTCCCACCCCCTCCCTCTCTGTCCCAGCAGGTCCTGCCAGGCCCAGACTCTGATGAGTTCCTAAACTCCATCCTGGCTTCTGGAGACTCGGTGCCCAGCTCCCCGATCTGGTCCCCTGCAGCCAGTGACAGTGGCATCTCTGAAGACCTGCCCTCTGACCTCCCGGACACCCCTCCACGCAGTGGGGCGGCCGCCACCCCCACCGGCTGCCATACCACGGAGTCAGGCGAGGGGCTCTGTCCCTCCTACCACCCTGGACTCCCCTGCCTTGCCAGTCCCCCGGGACCAGTGGCCCAAGTGCTGGAGACCTCTGTGGCCATAGACCTGGGTGGGTTCTGCATCTTCGTTCACCACCCTCTCCTCGTTCCAGGCACTGTGCCCACACGCCGGCCCTTTGAAATAGGTGCTGTCATGGGCCCATTCCCCAGATGGTGAAATGGAGTCCCCGTGAGGTTTAGGAATGAGTCAGAGCCACTGAACTGGGCTGTAACCCTGGCAGGCTGGCTCCTGCCCCAGATACCACACTGCCCAGATACCACGCTCATCTTTGAACCTCCCATGCCTGGATCATAGAGATGCTCGATGAAAGTGTGTGAGGTCATGGGACCCTAGGCCTCGGGACGCTCCTCCTGGATCTGGGGGAAACTAGCCTTATGCACAAGACACCCCCCAGCAGGGCGTCCTTTTCCCCTTGAGCCTTGCAACGACGTGGGAGCTCTTATTAGATTCACTGGAGAGTTGACAAAAGTGAGACTCAGAGAGGTTTAATCACTTAACCAAGGTCACACAGCTCTGCCCAGTCAGGATAGGAACCAAGAGCTGTGTAACCCTGAAGTCTGTGTTCTGGAGAGCAGCCTGCCTATAGGTGCCAGGTGGGAGGGGACCTGAGGTGAATTAGACCTGGTCCCTGCCCCCAGCGGGAGATAAGGCCGCTCTGGCTGGAGATCTAGTCTGTGATCCTGGGCTATAACTGCCGCTCCTGCCGGGTTGGCAGTGGGTCCCTCAGCAGTGTCCTGATGAATCGGGTTCCCAATTTCCCTCAGCAAGAAGACAGAGGCACCAGCTGGGGCTGTCGCCTTCAACCCAGGCCTTGGGGCCCCAAGCTGTGCCCCAAGTCCCTAGCACATTGTGGTCAAATCTGGGAGCCTTTCTGGAGGCAGCAGGTAGAAGCTGGGAGCTCAGGGGTCCCCACCTGACTTTTCCCTGTCTTTGTCCCCATCTGCCCTCATCAGAAATGTGGAGCCCGGGCCTGTGTTCCGAGGAGCAGGTTGAGTTGATGGACCAGCCTCCATCCTGCAACCTCACGGTGAAAGATCTTCTTCTCTCCGGCAGCGGGGCCGCCGACCTGGTGAGCAGCCCCGACCCCACCCCTCAGAGCATTGGGGTCGGAGGGCTTCATGGGGCCCCAGTACCTCCATTTCAGAGGTCGGAAGGCTGAGTCACACACAGGGTAGGGCACTTTCCAGTAGTAATAATAATTTTAAAAAAAAAAGAGCTAAAACCAAGCATTCTTCTAAATGCTTTCAATGTATCATCTTTTAACTCACAGTAATGCAAAAGATTGGGGCTCTTGTTACATTAATTTTACCCTTGAGGAAATGGGCACAGAGAGGGTCAGCAATTTGCCATAAGTCACACAGTCGCTGCTGGCTCGATCCCTGGGCTGGCCTATTGGGTCACTGCCCACTGACCCAGGGCCATCTGTATTTCCAAGGGCTTCGGGTACCCATAAACCAGACCTGACGACCCAATTAGTGCCCCCATTTCACAGATGAGGAACCAGTTGGGCTGATTAATGGCCTAGAATTCTGGGTAGTGGGGATTGATCCACAGGATTGACAGACTGTCCCAATCTGCACCTTTATTCTGGGGTCTGTCATTCCGCAGGGTGACATTTTTAAGACTTTGACACTCGGGTGACATTTCTAATGCTTATCTTTCATAATTTAAATTTAATTAAACACTTTTTTTTTTAAAACAGGCAAATGCATCCATACAGCCCGAGTTCCAAAGGCACACACAGGCATGGGGGGGATCTTCTCCCTCACCCTATGTTGCCAGATACCTCCCTTCCCACACAGATGCCAAGGTCCTCCCAAAGGGATTCCTTCTTCATTTTTTATTTTATTTTTATTTTTTTTTTAAGATTTTTATTTATTTATTCATGAGAGACAGAGAGAGAGGCAGAGGGAGAAGCAGGCTCCCAAGGAGAAGAGAGCCCGATGCGGGACTCGATCCCAGGACCCTGGGATCACAACCTGAGCCGAAGGCAGACGCTTAACCATCTGAGCCACCCAGGCGCCCCCCTTCTTCATTTTTTAAGTTTGACATACTAAGTAGTGCCCCACCCTTAACATGTTTTTGGCCCTTTATTTTTTAACTTGAGAGTTTATCGTGGTGATTGCTTTATATCATGATACGGGGGAGCCCCGTCCTTTTTCACCACTGTGTAGTACTCCCACCCCTCATACCCGGGTGATGCCTTTTTAAATCTATCCCCTATTTGTTGGATATCCCCACTGTGTCCAGCCCTTTTGTCCAGGCGTGAGGTTCCGTAGGATCAGTTCCCGGCTCAGAGGGCTGGTGCTGGCTCTCCTGAGCCCCAGCGCCCATGCGGACCTGACAGCAGACGAATCGATAGTTTCTCAAATCTGGTGCCTCTTCCATTTCCTGGAGGGGGTCGGTTTCCCTGCCCCCAGCGCCATGTCCTGATTTTTCCCACAGCAACAGCATCACGTGGCAGCCCCCCACCTGCTGCGCCCCGGGGCTGACCACTGCCAGGAGCTGGTGCTGACAGAGGATGAGAAGAAGCTTCTGGCCAAAGAAGGCCTCACTCTGCCCACCCAGCTGCCCCTCACCAAGGTGAGCCGGGGCTCCGGGCCCCGCCCCCTTTCCTGCAGCTACCTGCCCAGGAATCTCACCTTGGGGGCCTCCTGCGCTAGAATGTCATGACGCGTCTGTCGCTGGAGCCGGGAAATGCATCCTAAAGACCAACTTGGTGGGCAGGGCTTGACATCCGGGAACCAAGGGTGGGCTTCCAGGAGGCGGTGGTTTGGGCTCTGGGAGCCTTCCTCGTGCCTTTCACGCTTTATCATAGCCCCTTGCAGGCCAGAGCTCACAAAAGGGGTGACCCGCAGGCCAGGTACCCCTGCAGACAGGCTTCGACTGGGCTGTGCTGCATTTTGTGAATGTTTGAATTTTGAATTGGTTGCTAACATTTCTCTGGCCGGGAGTTTTCACGCAAGAATTCCGTGACTGTGGCCCCCATACTCCCACACCGCCATATGCAACCAGCTCGCCGCAGCTGCCCCCCGACCCCCAAGCCTATTTCGTTCAACTCAAGACCTGGGTTTGCCATTCCCACTGGAAAGACATTCCTTCGTCTCGGTACCAGCCGGCTCCGGGAAAGGCGCTGTTCCCAGGCGTGGCCAGAAGGTGGCGCCATCGCACCAATGCGCAAAGTCTGGTAGCCAGTTCCTAACTGGGATGGGGTCTGGGAAGATCATCAGGACCCAGGACACCCCCGCCCCCGCCCCGCCCCGCCCCAGAGACTGCAAGAATTTAGAGGAAGTCACTTGGAGTCTTCCCCCAGGTCCCTGGGTCTGGGGCAGGGGGGGCTCCCATGGGAAGAGAACATGGGTCCAGACAATGGAGTGGACTCTCCTCGTGTCACTGTGCAGTACGAGGAGCGAGTGCTGAAAAAAATCCGGCGGAAAATCCGGAACAAACAGTCGGCCCAAGAAAGCCGGAAAAAGAAGAAGGAATATATTGATGGCCTGGAAACTCGGTAAGGCTGGGGGCCTGGGATGCCAAACTTGGGGTGGGGGAGGGGAACAGAGGCCCAGGGAGAGGGGTGCAATGTGACTAGGGTCACAGTTTGGGGGGGCCTGACAAAATGAGAGGTGTTTTTTTTTAATTTTTTTATTCTTATGTTAATCCCCATACATTACATCATTAGTTTCTGAGGTAGTGTTCCATGATTCATTGTTTGTGCATAACACCCAGTGCTCCATGCAGAGCGTGCCCTCCTCAATACCCATCACCAGGCTAACCCATCCTCCCACCCCCCTCCCCTCTAGAACCCTCAGTTTGTTTTTCAGAGTCCCATCATCTCTCATGGTTCATCTACCCCTCCGATTTCCCCCCCTTCATTCTTCCCCTCCTGCTATCTTCTTCTTTTCTTCTTTTTTTTTTTCTTAACATATATTGCATTATTTGTTTCAGAGGTACAGATCTGAGATTCAACAGTCTTGCACAATTCACAGTGCTTACCAGAGCACATACCCTCCCCAGTGTCTATCACCCAGTCACCCCACCCCTCCCACCCCACCCCCCACTCCAGCAACATTCAGTTTGTTTCCTGCGATTAAGAATTCCTCATATCAGTGAGGTCATATGATACATGTCTTTCTCTGATTGACTTATTTCGCTCAGCATAATACCCTCCAGTTCCATCCACGTCGTTGCAAATGGCAAGATCTCATTCCTTTTGATGGCTGCATAATATTCCATTGTATATATATACCACTTCTTCTTTATCCATTCATCTGTCGATGGACATCTTGGCTCTTTCCACAGTTTGGCTATTGTGGACATTGCTGCTATAAACATCGAGGTGCACGTAGCCCTTCGGATCCCTACTTTTGTATCTTTGGGGTAAATACCCAGTAGTGCAATTGCTGGATCATATGGTAGCTCTCTTTTCAACTTTTTGAGGAACCTCCATACTGTTTTCCACAGTGGCTGCACCAGCTTGCATTCCCACCAACAGTGTAGGGGGGTTCCCCTTTGAGAGGTTTTTTTTCCGACTCTGGGGGAGAGGTTATTTTTCATGTGAACTGCAAGGATGGAAAGATGCCTAGAGATGGCAGAGGGCTCAGTCCCGAGGTCCCTTTATCCCCTAGAATATGTGGCACCAAGAAAGGAGAATGCATGGCCCATCTTGTTCTGGCTCTCTGCCTGAAGATGGGGTGCCTACTCCCCCAGTCTGAGCATCCCTGGTCCTCAGCCATCACGGCTTCCTTGAGTGTGTGTGTTGGGAAGGACAGAGGGGACATCATTCCTGGCAGAAATTCCTCAACTGAAAAACTGTGACCCCAGTTTCATCCAATCACCTCTCTCTCTCTTTTTTTTTAAAGATTTTATTTATTTATTTATTTTGAGAGAGAGAATGAGAGACAGAGAGCATGAGAGGGAGGAGGGTCAGAGGGAGAAGCAGACTCCCTGCTGAGCAGGGAGCCCGATGCGGGACTCGATCCTGGGACTCCAGGCAGTCGCTTAACCAACTGAGCCACCCAGGCGCCCCAATCACCTCTCTCTTAACTCATGTAAGGGGACAGGCTCCTCTTCTTTAACAGAAACGTGTTCTGTCTTCCCAAGTCAGTTTTGGGATGTCATACATTTCTGGGAAGTTGTCCGTTACAAATGTATCACCACAAAATGGTTCATAGGTATCTCTTACTATTTTGCTAAGCTCTACGTTGTTGGCAGTCATACCCATTTTAATAAATTCATGCTGTTCATTTGTGCCTTCTTTTTCTCCTTCATCTTCTTGATTTATCTTGTCAGAGACTTATTTATTTACTTATTCTTGCCAGAGAATGGCTTTCTGGCTTTTCCTCCCACTCACCTGTATTTTTGTATTCTAGTTCTTCCATTTCTGCTCTTATCTTTATTATTATTTTTAATTTATTTAAATTCAATTAATTAACATATAGTGTATTATTAGTTTTGGAGGTAGAGTTCAGTGATTCATCAGTCTTATTGCTCTTAGCTTTAGTATGTTCTTCCTTGATGCTTTATTTTGGAGGGAGTTTGTTCTGTTGTCCTTTTGCTAACTTTCAATACGTGTGCATTCGCTTGTTGAGCTGTATAAAGGCTGGTAAAGATCTGTCCCTCCCGGCCCTGCGTTAGCTGCCCCTCACGCATTGTGATTTGCACCAGTGACATTACCATTGGGTTCTTGGGTCTTCCTTAATCTACATCATGGATTCTTTTCTATCCCATGAGTTATTTAAAAGAAGGGCCTTTCAGTGTGTGTGTCGGGGGGGGGGGGCGCTTATTCCTTTCCCTGGATGCAATGTGAAGACCAACATATTCACATGCTGGGATTTGTGTATTTCAATTCCACATCTGAGTGGTCTGGGCCAAGACCACGATCACAGAGGGATGCAGACGGGAAAGGTGGGGCCCCAGCCTGGATCTGGGATCCCTAGATGGATGGATCACCATTGTCATGTTCCTCAGATGCAATCTACAAAGCCCCTAATCAACCTTATTTCATGTCATTCTCCCAAACACTCTGTGAACTAGGTAATTGTTGCCCCATTTTACAGGTGAGGGGGCTGAGCTCAGAGAGTAGAGTGGCTTGAGCTCACGGGGAGGGTGAGGATTGTAATTTGGTTCTCCTTAGACTCCCAGTCATCCTACGCCTTGGTCTTCTGGAAGCATCACTGCCCAAGTTGGGCATTCCATTCCCAGTCCTGGGGGCACAGACTAGTGTGACGCCCCCACATCAATGCAGATGTGGGATCTAGGAGCCAGGCAGACCTGGGTTCAAATCATGGCCCTGTCCACAAACTCGCCCGGTGTATTTGGATGAGTGACGTCCCATCTCTAACCTCAGGTTCCCTGCCTGTCAAGTGGGGCCTGACAGGGAGAGGTCAGCTGGGCCAGTTGGTGACAGGCATATTCTGAATGTCACTGTGACATTGTCCCTGCAGGATGTCAGCCTGCACTGCCCAGAACCAGGAGCTTCAGAGGAAGGTCTTGCATCTCGAGAAGCAGAACCTGTGAGTCTTGGTCTAGCTGTGGCAGAGGACAGGGGTAGCTGGCCCCCAGAGTCCCTTGCAGGAGAGGTGGACAATGTGGGGGGCAGCCTCTGTGATGGCAAAGCAGAGCAGGGGGTAAGGGCTCCACCTAGAAAGGGGGCAGGCTGCATAAAGGAGGGCACTTGGACTTGGGGACAGGTATTTCCAGCGGAGGAAATGACACATGAATGGCCAGAGGCTAGAAACACAGCATCCTGGAGGACTGCATGTGTTCCATCTAAGAGGTGCATCTACTCAACATATATTTAGCACCTCGTCTGTGCCAGGCATTGTTCTGGGCAATGGAACCACAACAGTAAACAAACAGACAGTCTCCTGACTAAGAGAACTCATGGTCTAGTGGAAGACATACTCAAGACAAATGAAAATATATGATTGTTTTCAAATAGTGATTGTCACTGAGGGTAAGAGCGAAGCAGGATAAAGGCACTGGAGAGCAAGTGGGGCCTATTCTGGGCAGGGAGGTCAGATAAGGTGACTTTTGAGATAAGACCTGATGGATGAGAAAGAACCAGCTACAAGAAGACCTGGGGGAATAGTGTCCTTGGTACAGAGGGAACCAGCATGTGCAAAAGTCCTGGGGCGGGACCAGGTCTGGCATGTAGCAGAAACAGCACGTGAGCCCTTGTGGCTGGAGCAGAGTGGGTGAGGGGGAGAGAGGGAGGAGGGGAGGGCAGGGAGGGGATGGGGCAGGTCATGCAGAGCCTTGGGGGCCATGGGGAGGACTTGGGCTTTTACCCCAGGGGGGTGGGAGCCCTGGGAGGATGGAGAGAAGCCCACTTACATTTGAAAAGTGCCATCTGGCTACTGCTTGGAGCATTAACCCTAGGGTGGCAGGAGGGGCCTTAGGGGGGCCAGAGTAGAGGCTGGGGCTGGCATTTCAGTGATAGATGATGGCGGCCTGGATCAGGGAGGTGGGGTGGCAGAGAAGTGAGTGGGTGCAAGGGGGTGGGATGTTCAGGGAGATTTACTGAAGCAAAGAGAGAGAGTCTGGGACTCTAAAGACCAATGGGGCCGTGAGGGATGAATGGGCTTCAGACATCAGCCAGTCTGGGAGATCCCAGGAGTGGATGGGAGTCAGATCACAGCCCCATGGGGCTGAGCCAAGACCCTCCCATTCCCACTAAGATCCCTCTTGGAGCAACTGAAGAAACTCCAAGCCATTGTGGTCCAGTCCACCAGCAAGTCGGCCCAGACGGGCACTTGCATAGCGGTAAGTCCTGGTCCCCAGGATAAAGGGGGTCCTCAGCCTTGGCAAAGGGGGTCTGTGTGGGGAGCTGAGCACAGCCTGAGCCCCAATTCAAGCACGATCCCATCTTCTGGGCCTGTTTCTTTGCTCACAGGGTGGGGGGAGGGATGGGGTGACCTCCCCCATCTCTGCCAGGTCCTGCTGCTCTCCTTTGCCCTCATCGTCCTGCCCTCCATTAGCCCTTTCGTCACCAACAAAGCCGAGAACGCCGGAGACTACGCACCTGTTCGAGGTAGGTGGGCTAGGGTTGCTCTGTCCTCAAACCCCCCCCGGGCTGCATCATGGGCACAATCCCCTTGTTTCCCCAAGTCTCTATACTGGGCCTCTGGGGGACATGGAGGGGATCCCCTTGCCTGCTCGCTACTCCTTGAGGCTGGGGCTAGGGAACGGAGGGACACCAGTCCCCCACCCCACCCCTCATGATCCTCCCAACCCTTGTTCAGTTTTCTCCAGAACTTTGCACAACGATGCTGCATCCCGCGTGGCCCCCGACGCCACACCAGGCTCCGAGGGCCCAGGACCACGGTCCAAGGATGGCACATCCCAGGAAGGGTCTCCAGGCAGCCCCACGGTGGACTGGGAATCTCGGGGCATGTCGGCTCTGGACAACTTGACGAAGGGGCTGGACAACTCGACTCTGATCCCAGATAACTCCACACTGGTCCTGGACAACTCGACACTCGTCCCGGACAACTCAACGGAGAAGCTGAACGGGGCCACCCTGCTGGGCTGGACTGGGACCGAGCCAGCGCTCAGCTCTGGACGGGTGGGATTGGAGGCAGCAGGGGAAGAGCTGTGAGCACCATCCCAATGTGCCCGCAGGCCCCTGGGCTTAGGGGCCCTTCTGTGGACAGTGACAACAGGCATGGGGATGAGAGGTGAGACCTGGCGTAAGAGCCAGGATGGAGACGCACAAACCCATGGACCCAGATACACACAGAACACGCTCACAGGGCAACCACAGGGCCACGAAGCCTGAGAAATACACAGATCCAGGCAAAGGAACAGGCAGACACATACAGAGTGATCCACAGACCCAGACAGACAGACAGACACACACACACACACACACACACACACCCCATGCCTCCACAGCTCCCCTGCCCCCAGACTCCTCCCTGCCTCCTGCACAGAGGGAAGAGAAACCGGCTGAGTCTGTGGGGACCCTGGCCCACAGCCACCCCTCTTTTCTAAGATCACAGAGATCCTTAATAAAGTATTTTTTTTTTCTTAATAAAGTATTTCGACAGAACACGGCTGGCACAAAGCGGCATTAGGGTGGGAGCTGAAGCAGAGTCTCGGGCTCCTCAACTCCTGGAAGGAGGGGCTGGGCCAGCCTGGGATGGGGAGGGAGGTGCGGCCAGACCCCCAGTCTGGGAAGGCGGCCTGCCAGGCCCCAGGGGTGCCTTCAGCACCTTGGAGAGCGGCCGCACGCAGATCGCAGGGCGCCCTTCAGGGTGTCCACGGAAGGCCTGGGGACCGCCTTCCTGGGGGCTGCACAGCCCACCCTGCTTGTTTTCCGGGTGGGGAGACTTGTTTTTCCGGCATGGGAAGTGAAGGGACCTGGCTGGAACCCAGCTGTGCCTGTGCTCTCCTAATGTGTGGTGACGCCACCGGCTGAGCAGGGGCCAGGGCCTTCGAACCAGACCAAAGCGCACGGCCCCCAGCCTCGCGGGGCTCACAGCCTAGCAGTGGAGGGCAAATATTTAGAAACCACGCACACAGGCACATCATCACACACTGGGGGCTCCAGGAATGCCAGGTGTGGTACTGCCCCTCCTCCTTCGCCTCCAGGCCTGGTTTGCAGAGAGGCCCAGCAGGGTCCACAGGGGCAAGGGGACCATGCAGTCCTGTCAGGACTAGGACCTGGCACAAGGTTATGAAGGCCAAACACAGACTCAGATGCAAGAATTTCTGCTTTTATTGCATTGAAGACTTCTTTGGAAGTCTGGAGGCAGCCAGGTGGACACACCCCTTTCTCCCTCTAGCCCCAGAGGCAGTGTAAACCCCATTGTCTGTGCCACCATGAAGTCTGGCTCCTGAATGGTGACTCTGCCCACCCCCCTCACCTCCCGGAGGGACTGTGAAGGCTGAAGGCGATTTGGGGGGGGGGGGCAGGGGAAGGGGAGTGTGAGGGCCCAGGGCCAGAGAGAGTTAACCTTGTTTACACCGGGAACTAGGGAGGGCCTGGCCACACCTCCCCAGAACATCCTGAGTCAGGGGCTGGGGCCCAGGAGGAGCAGATGCCTGGGGTGTCAGATCCAAGGTCCATGTCCAGGGTGTAAATGCTCCTCCCCAGGCCCACACCGGAGGCCCCTAGAGCTAGAGAGAGAGGCAGTGGAGGGTGAGCCTGCCCTGGGGTCTGGAGCCCGGCAATCAGCACCCTGAGGTCGCCCCCCCACCCCCACGGGCAGGTACAAGTAACAAAGTGAGACCAGTAAGAAAAGATGAATCCATGGTTTCTATAAAAAGCCCCACCCTCCCCAGGCCCCCGGGTCAGCTGGGGGCCACCTCGGCCTTCACCCTTTTGGGGGGCCTGTGCGGCGCAGGACTGTCCAGATGCTCCCTCTTGGGGCTGGTGGGCCCGGAGCCATTGTGCTGGGTGCAGGGCTCTGCTGAGGGCTCCGGCGTGGGGCTGGCGGGTGCTGGGCCGTTGAGCTGGGTGGGGGCCTCCTCCTTGGGCTCCAGCTTGGGGGCGGGTGGGCGAGGCAGGGGGGGAAGCGCCCTCTCCAGCACGCGGGGGCCGTCCCAGGCGGGGATCTCCAGGCTCAGGTGCTTCATGAGCCTGGTCATGACCTCATCCACATAGCCATGGATACGGAGGTCGGCGTGGCGGTCCTGCGGGGGCAAAGACAGGTCAGGCTGAGGCAGAGGGAGGGAGGGGAGGGAGGCTGGGGCAGGGAGCATGTCAGGGTGGGCTCAGAACGTACATGCTTTGTGGGCTGAAGGTTGACAATGACCAGTCGGCCTCCTCGGCGCTTGGTGGCGAGGGGCAGGTTCCCGCTGGGCCGGATTTGCAGCGAGGTGCCCAGTGTGATGGACAGGTCTGCGTTCCTGGGACGGGAAGGCAGAGTCAGATGGAGCCCCTTCTAGCCCTGCACAAGGGTCTCTGCAGCCCTCCTCCTGCCCCACAAGACTAGGAGGCCTCCAACCCTTCCTGGCTCAAGCCCTATGGCCTCACCACCCACCTTGTGCTCCTGCAACACGCCCAGCCCTGGGAAGTCAGCTCACTCCACACCCTCTGCTCTCAAGGGCCGCCCACAGCCTGGGCCAGCTTCTGAGCTGCCCTGAGTCCTGCCCCTGCCGCTTCCCTTCTGCCTGAGCCACCTCCCCACCCCCTTGGCAGAAGCAGGGTTCTTGACGTGGGCAGGACCTTCAATGCTTGGGACTTGGGTTCTCTCCCGGCTCATCCACTTCCCAGATGGGTAGCATTGGACAGGAGTCCACCTGCTGAAGCCTCAGTTTCCCTGCCTGTAACACGTGCATGGTGCAGCATGAGTAGCTGCTGTTAGTAAGAGGACAGTGAGGCCTAGAGCAGGGCGTCAGGAAGAGGACAGTGAGGCCCACAGCAGGGCGTCAGAAAGAGGACAGTGAGGCCCACAGCAGGGCGTCAGGAAGAGGACAGTGAGGCCCAGAGCAGGGCAGCCATCTCTTTCAGGAAGCCTCTCCTGATGGCCCAGGGCCGGAGCTGGCTGTGCTTCTGCCTGTGTTCCCACCTGCCCAATCTGGGCTCATCTGAGGGTCAGACCTGCTGGCCTCATCAGCGAGAGTGAGGTCCCGGTCAGGCAGGGCGTCCTCCCAGTCCAGGATGGTATCTCTCAGCTCCCCCCTGCAGGGGAGGGGTGGGGGGATCAGCATGGAGACATGCACCCCGCCCCCCCCGCGTCCAGGTGCAGCGAGAGGTCACTCACCTGCAAGCCCGAAGCCCCCTCGCCTTGGCCACGGTGCAGAGCCGGCCCGTGGCCTTGAGGCCCATGCTGCCCACGACAGTGTCCCGGACGTACTGCCTGTGTTGGGGGAGGAAGAGGGCCCCGTGGGGCTGGGTCAGCCCACCCCCTGCTCCCCTGCAGCCTGATCTGGGCGGCTCTTGCTCTTTTGGGGGAGCTGTTCTCCCAGGGAAGTGGGGGGCTTCCACAACACAGCTGGCCTGGTTGCACCCCAATGCCAGGGGGATGGAAACAGAAAGGCTGGGAAGTATTCCAAACCGAGGAGACTAGAGAGACCTGACAATGACATGCAAAGCATGACCCCAGGTTGGATCGTGGACTGGGACAAAAATAGAAGGCATGGGAGCACTGGGAAGCCAGGTGAGGGCCTGGATGATCTACACGGTCGTCCACATCCCAGCCTTTACTACGAATGTGCTGTGGCCACGGGAGACATGTGTCCCGTGGGCCTGGGGCAGTGGACACTTACGCCTCAACATCACAGCAAGGACTAACAAAATAGGGACGAAAGATTGTCAAATCCATGTTGAGATCAGCAAACTATGGCCCCGAGGATCAAATCTGGCCCTCGGCCTCCTGCCTTTGTGAATAAAGTTTTATTGGCACACGGCCATGCCCATTCCTTCCTGTGTTGTCTATGGCGACTTTCACACCACGATAGCAGAGCCCATCAGGATCCTGACGGAGACTGCCTGGGCCACAAAGCTGAAAACGTTCTACCATCTGGCCCTTTACAGAAAAAGCTTCCTGAGCTCTGGTCTAGGCTAAGTTCGGGTTCATCAAACAATTCTTATATGAGTTTTCTGTAGATTTGAAATTTTTCAAAATAAATTTGGGGACACTTTTTTTTTTAACTTGGGGGCCCCACCTGGGTGGCTGCTCAGCCAGCTCAAGGAGACACAAGCAGAGCACCCCAGCTTTGGGAAGGGCTCTGGCTCAGCCTTCCCAGAGCGGGCCGACACACCTCTGTCACACTCCATTATGGGCTGAATTGTGTCCCCTCAAAGATATGTTGGAGTCCCGGCCCCCAATACTTTAAAGCGTGACCGCATTTGGAAATAGGATCGTTGCCGATGTAACGAGTTAAGATGAGATCACACAGGGGAGGCTGGAGCTCATCTCATAGGACTGGTGTCCTTATGAACCAGGCGGAGGGTGGCGTGAGGGGAAGACAAGCCGAGGAGCACCAAGGACTGTGAGAAACCTCCAGAAGACGCAAAGGGGAAGGAAGGAGCGCCCCCTGCAGAGTTCAGCAGGAGCCCTGCCCTGCCAACAACCGATCTCTGACTTCCGGCTTCCAGGCCACGATGACACATTTCTGTTTCGAGCTGTTCAGCTTGTGGTCATTGTTAGGACAGCGCAGGAGGGGAATGCGCCTCCCCAGGAGGAACACAAGCCCCCAGCCCCCACCCCAGCCTGGGTCTCTGGCCATGCCAGAGGAGACTCATAAGGCTCTTACACAGAGCCCGACCCGGGAGGTCACAGAGAATGGGGCCGGCCCGTTCTAACCCTAACTCCCCCCACCCCCGTGGCACTCACATCTTACACTTGACACACTCTTCTACAAACATGTTTCCATGGAGCTCTGCCAACTTGTCCCTGTGGAAGGAGAAGAGAGACACGTAGCCGTGGCACAGGGCTCTGGTTCCTGAGGCTGCAGGCCAAGTACCGAGCCCTCCTCCTCCAGGAAGCCTTCCCTAAGCCTTCAACCATAGGATCAATGGACTCTCTCCTTCTGGTGCCTCTGGCTGCTGACTCCACCATCCACACATTGTACAACCTCATCCAGATGGCCCAACCTCTCTGAGCCCGAGGAGTCATTAACCTCATGGCTGACCCCACCTCTGTTCACAGACAGCCCATTCCGCTCACAAAATCCATCCACAATCATGTCGGAACCTCCGAATGTCACCAAGTCTGAAGGACAGGAGTTCTGATCTCCAGTTTGCAAAGGAACCTGAGGCGATGGGAGGCCCAGGGGGCATGGGCTTTGGAAGCAGAGGAACATGGGATCAACTCCCGGCGCTACTGCTTCCCAGCTGTGTCACGTTGGGCAGGTCGCTTAACCTCTCTGTGCCTCAGGCCCTGTCCGAGAAACGGGACAGCAGTGCCTAACTTTTGGGATAGTTGGGGGAGCAATGATCAGGCCTGGGCTCTTGCCCTGGTTCCCTTGGTCACCTCCCTCATGTCCCCACTCCTATGTCACAGCCCCCCTGGCCTGTTACAGGCTGCATTGCCCACCCTACCTTGCCCTTCTCTTTCCTGGCAGTGATCACCGCCTGACCTAGAATGCAATTCGCTAATTTATCTCGTCTTCTGTTTCCTCGCCACAGGAGCATAAGT